ACCTCAGTGTTCTAAGTGTTCGTCTGGGTGGCCACAATTCCCATGGATGAGCTCGAGGTGTTCACATGAATGCAGGCAGCAGTGTTTGTTTGTCGAGTTCGTGGAACTATTTGTGAATACTGAAACTCCTGAACACTGCTGGACTTCCATGATCGCCTGCGTTCAGTTCGACAACACTTAGAAAGACACTGTTCGGTAGAAACATTCCCACGATCAAGGGGAACAAGCTCCAGGGTAAGACTATTGACTTTGTTTGGTAGTTTGTTCGTTTTTAAACTACCAAACTAGACCGACCGCAAGCCCTGATTCTCTGGAACTGTTTTGGGCATAGGTGTCAGGATACTGACAGGGATCCAATACGCAGAGTGCGGACAGAAGGAGGTACGTATAACGGACCTTAGAATGGCCGGACTAACGTAGGGACAAAGCAAGAATAGTCAAAAGGTAAGCCGAGGTCGAGGGAGCCGGAGGACAGGTAAGCGAGATACAAGCCGAGTCAAAGGAGAGGAGAGGACAACAGGACAAAAGACAAGCAAGGGTCAAAACCGGAAACACAAGATAAAGAACGCGCTGAGTGACTAGCAAGCTAGAACCACGACAGGGCAATGAGCAGTAGTAAAGGTTTCCTTTAAATACCCTGTTACCTAAATAGAGACCACGCCCCCAAAAGGTCCGGAATAGCGGTTCCCGGCACTTCATGTAAATGCCGACGTCATGACGTTGACGCTAGCCGTCGCGTCATAAAAGGGGGAGGAGCTAGCGTGGCTGGCGCGAAAACGGCCGGAATATGCCGAAATGCTAGGGGCAGGGAGCCCCTAAACAGAGAGGATGTCTTCCCTGGATTCAGCACCAACAGGTACCCTGACAATAGGACCATGCGTGCGGTCAGTCAAACAAATGACTTTCAGGAAATTCCTGAAGTGATCTGGGTTTATTTTTGGATCTGTTTATCACCCGGATGAGTGCTATCAGAGGATGCAACTTTTGTGGGGTTTTTATGTATTTGTAGGATACTTTTGGGGTGTTTGAGAGCCAAAGTAATTGTGTATTTGTTGTTTCTACTGTGGTTTACTCTCAGGTCAAGGGAGGTCTGCCCAGGGCCGGATTAACATAGGGGCTGATAAAGCTGCAGCTCCAGGCCCAGGCCCATGGAATAAGCCCACTGATTTAAAAAAAAAACTACTCTACTACTCACACTACTCTACTACACTACTACTTAGGGTTTCCATCTGGCTGGTATTTTATTGGCACAGCCAGTATTTGAGGCTGCCTGGCCGGTGCCGATATTGCAGTCATACTGGCAATACAAATGATGGTATTTTTCTTAGTATATACATAGATTACAATGCAATACCAGCACTGGCCAGTAGCTGTGTGTGGAGAGAGGCAGGCATAGGAAGTTCCAGCATATCCCTCCCTGCCTATCGCTACTCACTGATCCACAGGGGAGCAGCTACACTGCACAGAGAGTCCAGACAGCAACTCCCACCCTGCAGAGACAGCCTACAGGTCAGGTAAGTGAAGGATGGGGGGCAAGGCTGCAAGGAAACATGGGGACACAGACACTAAGGGACATTGGGGGACATGGGGACACAGAGACACATGGGGACACAGTGTCCCCATGTCTCCCAGTGTCCCCATGTCTCTGAACCAGTGGCCCTGTTGTCTCAGTGTCCCTATGTCTCCCAGTGCCCACTAGTCTCCCAGTGTCTCAGTGCCCCCATGTCTCCCAGTGTCTCAATGTCCCCATGTCTCCCAGCCTGTGTCCCTAGTGTCTGTGTCCCTGGTGTCTGTGTCTCCATGTCTTCTAGTGCCCCCATGTCTCAATATCCCTTTGTCCCCCAGACAGTGTCTCTAGTGTCTGTGCCCCTGGTGTCTGTGTCCCCATGTCTTCAAGTGTCCCCTATTTTCCCAGTTTCTCCATGTGTCCCAGCCAGTGTCCCCTAGTCTCCCTGTGTCACTGGTGTCTCCATGTCTCCATGTCTCCTCATAGTGTCCTAGTAACATAGGGACCCTGGGAGACATGGGGACATAGACACATGGGAATACTGGGGGAACATAGGGTCACTGGGAGACCTGGGGACACGGCACTAGGGGACAATAGGAGACATGGGGCACTGAGACACTGATACATAGGGACATTGAAACCTGAGGTAATCGACACATGGGGACACTGAGTCATGAGGGCACTGGGTGACATGGGGACACTGGGACAGTGGGAGACTTGAGACACTGGGAGGAATCCATCTATCCTGCAGAATCAAACTAAGTAGATTTTTGGGGATTTTACAGCATTTTTTTTATGTCACTCCTTGTGATTTACATCATGTGATGTCATCCATACATAATTAATTATGCAAATTAGCAAGGCAGGTATGTTTTTCCAAGAAAGGTGGCAACCCTAACTACTTTTCACATACTCTTGCTTAAGTATGGAAACTTAAGAGGGATGTATGGGAACAAAACTTGTGTGGACTGGCTGAATATGAATATAGTTAAAGGATCACTATAGGGTCAGGAACACAAACATGTATTCCTGACCCTGTAGTGTTAAACACACCATCTAGCCCCCTGGGCCCCTCATGCCTCCATAAATATAGTAAAAGTGTTACTGTATTCAAGCCAGAAGCTGCATACTGTTAGACTCATAAAAACAAACAGTCTGCTCACATCATCAGAAGTGGTTGCCTGATCCAATCACAATGCTTCCCCATAGGATTAGCTGAGACTGACAAGGAGGCAGATCAGGGGCAGAACCAGCATGATTTAAATACAGCCCTGGCCAATCAGCATCTCCTCTCTTCAGATGAACTGAATCAATGACTCTCTATGAGGAAAGTTCAGTGTCTGCATGCAGAGGGAGGAGATACTGAATGTTTGGATGCATTTTAGGCAGCCATGAACCAGGAAGGATCTCTAACAGCTAAGGGAGGAGTGGCCAGTGAAGTTATCACTAGGCTGTATGTAAACACTGCATTTTCTCTGAAAAGACAGTGTTACAGCAAAAAGCTGAAGGTAATGATTCTACTCACCAGAACAAATTCAATAAGCTGTAGTTGTTCTGGTAACTGTAGTGTCCCTTTAAGGTAATGCTGACTTTGGTCTCTCTAACACTGTGGCATGTTCCCTTTCTTCTACACTCACTACATACATCTTTTCTCTGTCCTAGACTGTGACGAGAACAATCTCGCCACATTGCATTGGAGAAACCTGGTTGCTAGCCTGTTGCCTTTGGATTATGGCCCCATGTTAAAAGGCTTGATTTTCCCCTGCAAAGACATGAAAGCCGGGTCATTTGGTGCAGCCCTGTTTGAGCGGTGATACCCCAGATAGCTATGCCATGGAGCCCATTCGTATAATGAAAGACTATGGGAAAGACTTTGGCTCCATGGCAATTGAACTGTATGTGTGTGCTCTGAGCGCTATTCAGTAATAATGTGTGCTCAGATCTGAGCTATCTGGGGATATGTTGAATGTATGTGAAAAAGACACTTATTTACATAACCAGTATGAAAAAGTGACAGTGTGTAGCGCTAGATGATATTGACTTACACCATGAGGAGTCAATATCATCTAGCGCTACACACTGTCACTTTTTCATACTGGTTATGTAAATAAGTGTCTTTTTCACATGTAATCACGATAGGATTGAAGAGTACCTATTTTCTTGTGTGAGAGCTGCTGTACTATAAGAGCACCTGTTACTATTTAATTTAAGCGCCTGATAACACAGAATATTCTGTTATATTGTTGATATGTTGAATGTACCTGTTTTGTGCAATGGCTGCACAGTTATATTTTTATGTGTTTTATTGTCTTTTGCTGCCATGTGTTCAATGGAGTTTTGCCTCTGTCCTTGGAGATAATTGGATTACTTCCCAATTATCTCCAGGATAGAAGACTCTGTGGAACTGGTTTTGGGCAGAAAAGCCATGCTTCCTTTGGTCACAAAGGACTACGATCTATCTTGTGAACCACTAGATCAATTTGGATGATTTTGACATATGCTTGTATTTGGAGTATGCTGATTCTGAAAATGTAATGTTTTATGTGAATGTGATGCATACTTTTCAAGTTATGAATAATGTGGAAAAATTGTATTTCTCTGCTTGTTATAATTACCTTACCCATTGTGTAAGGTAATTGAATCACAGGCAGAGGGAAGGATTTTGTGTGGGAGTGTCTGAGTGTATTGTATGTGTTTATTGGTTGTGTTCCAAAACCCTGTGGGTGGTACTAATGTGTGTGTATATAAGAACAATAAACCCACAGCTCTGTCTGTTCACTGCTTGACCCTCAACATGGAGCTTTGTCTCGTTCTTGGGGGGATTTATTGTATGCTGTTCCAGTTCGACTGCTAGGAGTGTAAACCTATTCCTATGGTTTTTCCTATTCGTCTGTTTACAGCATTCATATGGTTTCCTGTTCGGCGGATTGGTGTTCTGCAGTAGCTGTGCCTGTGTCTCTGGAAGGGAAGATCTACTAAACGGCGGTTTAACCCTTTTATGCCTGGGAGTGCCGTAACATAGACCAGGGCCGCCATCAGGGGGTGACAACCGTGACTGTTGTCACGGGCCCGGCGGCCGTGGGGGGCCCGGACTGCTCTGGCAGTCCTGGGCCCCACTTTCCCTTTCTGCACACATAGATAGCGCATATCGCGATCTATGTGTGCAGCCGCGGGCCCCCGGCTCCCTGTTACCGCAGAGGGGGCCCAGGCAGCACACAGCTTCTCCTCCTGTCTTCTCTCTTCTCATAACTCTCGCGAGACCCGCGGAGCGTTGCCATGGTAACCGGGTCTCGCGAGAGTTATGAGAAGAGAGGAGAAGCTGTGTGCTGCCTGGGCCCCCTCTGCGGTAACAGGGAGCCGGGTGGCCCCCCACCGGACCACCAGGGATGGAATCTCCCCCCTCCATGGACACAGGTAAGCAGGGAGGGGGGAGAAACATTTAATTAAATTAATAAAAAAATTAATGTTAAAATGCCCCTTCCTCCCCCTCACCCCAGATCACACACTAACAACACACACTGCATACAATAACACACACACTGCATACACTAACACAACACACACACTGCATACACTAACACACACATACACTGCATACAATAACACACACTGCATACACTAACACACACATACACTGCATACACTAACACAACACACACTGCATACACTAACACACACATACACTGCATACACTAACACAACCATACACTGCATACACTAACACACACATACACTGCATACACTAACACAACACATACACTGCATACACTAACACACACATACACTGCATACACTAACACAACACACACACTGCATACAATAACACACACACTGCATACAATAACACACACATACACTGCATACACTAATACACACATACACTGCATACACTAACACAACACACACTGCATACACTAACACACTGCATTCACTCACACAACACACACACTGCATTCACTCACACAACACACACACTGCATACACTAACAACACACACTGCATACAATAACACACATACACTGCATACACTAACACACACATACACTGCATACACTAACACACACACACACACACACTGCATTCACTAACACACACATACACTGCATTCACTAACACAACACACACACTGCATACACTAACACACACACACACACTGCATACACTAACACAACATACACTGCATACAATAACACATACACTGCATTCACCAACACAACACACACTGCATACACTAACACAACACACACTGCATACAATAACACACATACACTGCATACACTAACACAACACACACACTGCATACACTAACACAACACACACACACTGCATACACTAACACAACACACACACTGCATACACCAACACAACACACACACTGCATACACCAACACACAATACATACACTAACACACACTGCATACACTAACACACAACACACACTGCATACACTAACACACACACACTGCATACACTAACACAACACACACACTGCATATGCAACACACACACACACTGCATACACTAACACACACACTGCATACACTAACACACACACTGCATACTAACACACCATCCGCTACACTAACACACACTCTGCATCCGCTACACACTAACACACTCTCTGCATTCACTACACATTAACACTGCATTCACTACACTAACACACACTCTGCATCCGCTACATACTAACACACTCTCTGCATCCGCTACATACTAACACACTCTCTGCATTCACTACAAATTTACACACACTATGCATTCACTGCACTAACACACACACTACATTCATTACACTGACGCACTCTGCATTCACTACACACTAACATACACTCTGCATTCACTATACTGACACACACTCTGCATTCACTACACTAACATACACTCTGCATTAACTGTACACACAGCATCCACTACACAAACATCCTGTATTCACAGTACACACTACATCCACCACAAATTGAAACACTCTGCATTCACTATACACAGACACTGCGTCTAATACACACACTACAGACACTGCATCCACTAAACACATTTCATCTAGTACATACAAACACTACATCCACTACACAAACACATACTACATCACTGTACACACACTACATCCACTACTCAAAAACACTCTGCGTTCACTATACACACTGCATCCGCTACACAAACACACACTCTGCATTCATTGCACAAACAGTATCTAATACACACAAACACTACATCCATTACACACATTCTAATTCACTTCCACTATACACACACCACATTCAGTCCTGCATCATTGTGGGCGGACTAGGTAGGGCGTGGGCGGGCCCGCGAGGAGGGGGGGGGGGGCCCAGACCTTGTGCTTTGTCATGGGCCCCAAATTTTCTGATGGCGGCCCTGACATAGACTATATACCAGGAGCTTCTGCCTGCTAGTAAGAAGGTAAGGAGACAAGTGGTCCAGCGAGTGTTAGGAGACAGTCCTTAGAAAGCGTTGCGCAAGTGCATCATTAGACGCATTTATGCCAAGCTCAGGATGCTGTCTTCATAGTATGCCTTTAGTTGGACAACGTTCATGATTGGCAGGCTGGCTTTCCAATTCTTTGGGCAGACATAACCTCTTTTTGGGCACGTTCGCCCCTTTTTGCAAGTTAAGTGATTTGTGTCAGTGACACACCCTTTTACTGTGCCTATTGACTTCCTGCTTGACTGGACACTGCTTGTAGGGGTTATGGATTTACTTGAAAGATGAAAACATAAATTAGAGCAAGATTAGCATAGGGTATGTGTTTTTCTTTTAGCTGCTGTTTTCTTTCCCTCCAGCACCATCTCCATCAGATACATGACGCTTGGGAGTGTTTTAGTATTTTTGGTCGATAATATTCTGTAATTAGGCCCGACATAATTGTCAGCACCAGGCCCACTGGGCTGTTAATCTGGCCCTGGGTCTGCCCCTTGCATGGGGACATGCATATAAGGCCAGTTGTGGCTGTTATTAAAGCTAGTGATGTCGCGAACATAACATTTTCGAACCGGGCGAACCGCCATAGACTTCAATAGGCAGGCGAATTTTTAAACCCACAGGGACTCTTTCTGGCCACAATAGTGATGGAAAAGTTGTTTCAAGGAGACTAACACCTGGATTGTGGCATGCCGAAGGGGGATCCATGGCAAAACTCCCATGGAAAATTACATAGTTGATGCAGAGTCTGGTTTTAATACATAAAGGGCATAAATCACCTAACATTCCTAAACTGTTTGGAATAACGTGCTTTAAAACATCAAGTATGATGTTGTATCGATCATGTAGTGTAAGGGTTACGCCCGCTGAACAGTGACAGACCAAACTCCCCGTTTAACGCACCACAAACGACTGCAAACAGTCCATTTGCACAACCGCAAACTCCCCATTTGCACAAGGTTGGATACCAAGCTAGCCATGTCCCGTTTCTTGTCCTCACTGATGTCATTGAAGGTCTCTTCCTCCACCCAGCCATGTACAACACCAAGGGTCCCCAAAAGGTGACAACAAGCCCCCTGGGACGCCTGCTGTGTTTGGTCTTCCACCTCCTCAAAGCCACCTTCCTATTCTGACTCCTCTCTCTGCGTTGCCTCTCTCTGTATTATTATAAGGTGTGTTAAGTAGTACTATTCCTATCAGTTTAATCCCTGTTACGTCCCCTATCAGGGAACGTGTATATGGCATCGATTTTAGGACACGGGAGATGGAAAAAGATGCTTGGTCGGTCCTCCTTCTTCAAATTTGGGGCACTGCGCGTGCAATCTAATGTGCCACCAGATAGGAGTAGTGTGTTAAGTAGTACTATTCTTATCAGTTTAATCCCAATGTCACGACTACTAGTGTGGTCCAGCACGCAGAAACTATGTAAACATATACATAGGCAAGAAAAGGAAAATAAAAGGACACAGCGTAAACCGTACCTTAGAATGGCCGGACAAATACACTAGAGACAGATAATGGTCAAAGGGAAAGCCGAGGTCAAGGAAGCCAGAAAATACACAATACCGTTTACACAAGCCAAGTCAGGGAAACCAGAATTCAGAATAACCAGGGAAAAGCCAAGATCAGGATACCAGGAAATCAGATTCACAATGATAAAGCACTCTCAGGAGACCAGGAACAGGAAACCACGACAGGGCAAGGTACTGGGGTGAGCTAGGGATTTAAATATCACGCGGTGGGCCGGCAGCCGCGACACCCTGTTACGTCCCCCTCATCAGGCCTTTATTAGTCGAATGTACCGCCAACTGTCAGTCCAAATGGTATGATGTTGCTGATGGTGCCTTCGGTGCGACTGACTAGGTTTGTCACCTCCTCAAAAGGACGCATGAGCCTACAGGCATTGCGCATAAGCGTCCAGTAACGTGGCAAAACAATTCCCAGCTCCGCAGAGGCTGTCCTAGCACCAAGATGGCGTGACACTGCCGTATCCAGGTTGTGGAATAGTAGCTGGGGGGATGCCGTTGATGTGGAGCAAGACGCAGCAGCAGAAGAGGACTCAGCCGAGGAGGTTATGGAAGAGGATGGAGTAGGAGGAGTAGAGGAGGTGGCAGCAGGCCTGTCTGCAAGTCGTGGCGGTGTCACCAACTCCTCTGCAGAGCCACGCATTCCATGCTTGGCAGCCGTCAGCAGGTTTACCCAATGCGCAGTGTAGGTGAAACGCTCACGCGTGAAGGAAACTGACTGCTATTATATTACAGTCAAAAAAGTTTTTTGTTTTTTTTAAATGCAAGCTATTGGGACACCAGTGAGTGAGTGGTGGCACTTGGCAAGTGGGCACAGTATATGCTGTGAGCCTGATATGCTGTGAGGCAACTGCAATTACATTACACAGAAAAAAAAGGCAGATTTTCTAGCCCTAAAAAGGGCTTTTTGGGGTGCTGTCCTTACAGCAGAGATCAGATGAGTCCTTCAGGACTGTAGTGGACACTGAATATACTAGTCTAGCTATCAATTTCCCTATCAAATCAGCAGCAGCTACACTGTCCCTCTTCTCACTAAGAATGCAGCTTCACAATGAATGTAAAATGGATGCTGTCCAGGAGGTGGGAGGGAGGGTCTGCTGCTGATTGGCTGGAATGTGTCTGCTGACTGTGAGGTACAGGGTCAAAGTTTACTCAATGATGACGAATAGGGGGCGGACCGAACAGTGCATATGTTCGCCGTCCGTGGCAAACGCGAACAAGCGATGTTCGCCTGGAACTATTCGCCAGCGAACCATTCGGGACATCACTGATTAAAGCATTCCAGTTTGTACTCCCAGAACTATGTGTCGTCTGGTTACTGGAAGGGGAAAGGGCTACTCTTTAATCACAGTTCCAGTGTGGAGGATACAACGGAGAAAGACCTTGTAAAGACAAGAGCTCCCAGTGCCTGGGGGTGTCTAGAGCAAATTCCTCATTCGGCTCCAGGAGAGAGCAGTTCCAGGGCCACCGCCAAGCCACAGTGACTGTGAGCAGAAATGCTGCGGTTTATCCCCTGTTCCAGCTAAGAAGCGGTCCTTGGCGTGGGTACCCAGCCTGGGTACAGGGTGCTCCGCTACATGGGGATAAAACATTTATAAGATATATAAATGAGAAAAGAAAAACAAGTTAGTTAAACTAAAAACAAAAGAAGGGAATATGTATCAAAGCATATCTAGCTTTTGCCTCAATTAATATTTTTGTTCAGTATTTACAGATGAACCTCAGTTACGAAAAAAAATGTAATTTTTTTACATGTAATTTAACAGAGGAAGATATTCTGTTTCAGCTGTCTAAAGTAAAAACAAATTTGTCGATAGGGCTTGATGGGTTACACCCAAAGTTATTAAAAGTACTTAGTGGTTCAAAATGGTTAATAGATTTATTTAGCTGATCATTCTTAACAGAAGAAGCATCTGAAGATTGGA